TGGTCAAATGAGCAGAAATAATGGCTATTTCAAACTGTACATGTGGAAGAAGATGGAAAGGGGCTGACCATACAGAACCGTGGAATTCAAAGTGTTTAGGGCTCAAATTAAAACAAAGGATTGATGTATTGCTGTGTATGTGTAAAATATGAACATATAAACTATAGATGAGTAATGGCTGTAACACAATTGTAGCTTGTGAATTATAACATAAGCTATAAAGGTACACTAGCCATGTCACCAGGGGTATTTTAGTTTTATCCATCAATACATTCTAATTTACTCTACTCACAAATACACATACATACAGTATTACTAGCAAATGCAAAATGAAACGCTTAGAACAGAACCTGGCACTGGTTAAACACTGGTTAAACAGTGCCACAAACAAAATATTGATTGTTAAAGTTAAAATTGAATCCCCCAAAATCCTTTCTATTAAGGCTCAGTTATTCTTTCTCAAAGGCAGCATGTCTTATATCTCGCTCTGCAAAGTCCTCAAGGACCTGGGGCAAAAAGATTTGGAGAAAAGCCATTTGTATCCAGGCAACGTCACAACAAGAGCCAGAGATCAGCGAATAGAACACAGACAGGGCACTTAATCTCACTCATGAAGGTTTTAAGAGCTTTCAAAGATACGACCGAAAAACATGAATGTCGAAGAGTAAAGAGCAACATTGGAAGGAAATGTTGTTTTTTGCAAACAATGACAAAGCAACTGACCTTTGGTTTCTAGGGATCATTTAATAAATATCATTTTATTTCAAATTACTGTAAATACATGGTCTGGATGTGATCATTCCATAGTTACAGATGGGTAACCCATTGACTATATGAAAGGACCTTGCTAACCCCAAGCTCAATGAGGCTCAAAATGGAAGTGCTCGTGGATGAAGGTTTGCGCCAACTTGCTCTGGCTCCTATTGACTTAGGCGCGGTAGAGGCAGTGGGTACAGACACTCGATGCATTCGACGAGAGCAAGAGATGAACTTTTTCCGGAGCCGTCACCGGGACACAAGACACTGGAAAACAGCTAAAACAGGAGCTAAACCAGGACTAAACCAGGATTTATCCAGTCTGACAATGGGGGACACTGTGCTTGTGAACATATTCCTCGAGCCTCATTCCCCCGTGACTATAAACAAGGGCTGCTAACGTGTGTTAGCCAACACAGGTTTAAAAAAATGAATTAAAAAACAATCAATATATATTGTTATCGACCGATATGAATTACTTATATCGTGATATAGTTTTCAGCCACATCGCCCAGCCCTAATAGCAACACATCTGTCCAAGTTACAATGCAAATCTCACCCCGTCGGAACAACTGCTCATTAAAAAACTTTGGCTCCACCTAGTTTATGTTGAAATCGGCTAACACTATGGGTAATGTCAGTCCACCTCTATTCTATGTTCTTGACAACCACTATTTCTGCAATAGCCTCACACCTTGAGCTGCAGAAGACGTTACATCTCAAATTATGGAACAAATATAACTGGAATTAGATGGAGATGGTGTAAGAAATGTCGTGTCTGTATTATAACATCATTACTAGTATGGGTGCTGTGGAAGCATAGTGGTTAGCACTCTTGGTTCTCTGCAAGATGGTCCTTGTTTCGGATCATGGATTTTCTCCTCTTACTTTGGGTTTCTGGGTATTTATGGACGATGATCAACTTGATAATACAGTTATCAGTAGTCAATAGTGGTTGTCAAAAACATTTCCCCCTCAGTAACTATGGAAATGATCACATTGCAAATAGGTGTAACCGAACATTCAACGTAAAACACAGAGAAATAGACATTCAACAAAGAAAAGTATTTCTTATCCCGGAATTTGGCTCAGAATTCCCACCCTGGAGCTATGGGGTGGTCGACTAATACTTTCCGCAGACTATTTTTGCACCCCATATGCAAATTCAGAGCAGAGGTTTCAACACAGATCGAGATGACAAGTTCAAACGAAAACAAACCAGCAAAGACAAAAGGGCCGTGATGAAGCAAAGAGGCGGATTTTAACATTAGCAAAGCCGCCTCAACACAAGCATAATTTCTCTTTCTCTTTGAAGCCACTTGACTTTCACTCCACAGAAGAAATGCTGCTCGCCTTCAGACGACCTTCACACACAACCCAAACAAACCCAAGACCATAATCCTCTCTGATCCTTTAGTGGCCGGCACGACTGGACACTGCCACAGCTCAAGTGTGAATATAAATAACATCTGAAAAGTCCTCCTGAAAGCAGCCCCCACAGTTACAGATCTGTACAAGGCTCTGGGCTTTGATAGTCACACTGTGTTGGATTTCAGATACTGAGGCTCGTAATGCATCTTGAATGATAAATATGGTCCAGACTGTCTGCCCTTTTGGCCAGCTATTCTCAGTGAAATACTTTTGAATAGTCTGGAAGTCTATATTTTGACCCTGACAAGACTAAATGTCTACGACTGATGTTTTAAAAATGTTATGTTTCCACTTGGGATTGAAGTTGTATGAAAAATAAAATCAACTTAGCGGATGGTGTTAGAAATGCTGTCTTGTCTGTATAATAACATCATTACTATGCCATGGGTGCCATGGTAGCAGAGTGGTTAGCACTCTTGGTTTTCTGCAAAGATGTTTCAGATCATGGATTTTCTCCTCTTACTCTGGATTCCTCTACCCCTAAAATACATGCATATTCTACGTACTTCTGATGTTTTACTTTGTTTGTTTGTTGTACTAGTTTTTAATTTGTAGCACTTTGAGGTTTCCTGGAAATTTAAGGTGTAATAAAAATAAAATGTATTATTATTAATAAATGGATGTACAATAGTTACAATAGCAAATTCCTCCAGCTCCGGTCCTTACAAAGCCAAACATCAAAATCTGGAGAAAAGTCCTTGGGTGCTTTACCAAAGAATCAGAGACCCTTTGACATTGCAGGATGGGTCAAATGCAGAGGAAAAATTGCCCAAGGATAAATAAGATATACTTTTTAATACACAATTGTTCAAACTGCACTGTTGTTTTTTGTATCCTGTTAATAGTTTTTGTAAGAAATAAAAATAATGAGTGGTACATTTGAAAAGTGAACATTGTGACAGTGCTTTTGGAGGACAGACACACGAGACCGAACAATGGTAACGCTGTGTGCGCTCAGAAAGATAACATTCCACCAATATGTTTGTAGTTCATTGTTGTGTCGTCATTCCAACACCTTGACCTCTTGTTTATTTACCAACTTTTTTAGGGATTTGCTGAAACGGTGAGTTATGAATTGATTCAGATTCAATACTGTATTGTCATTGTCACAAAAACAACACAATTACATTTTGAGCAAGATAATATAGTGTATAAAGAGCGTATGTAGATTTTGATTTATGCATGCCTTCTCGTTTTTATTCTGCTTTAACTTGTTTGCATCGAGAACCAAAGCAGTTTCCTAGTTTGTGACTTCCTGTTACTCACATGGAAATAAAAAGGATTCTGATTCTGGTACAAAGTGCAGATGTTGGCAGGATGTAAACAGCACAGGGCGGCCTTGTGCTTTAAACCTTCTTTGTGGATGTTAAATTAAAAACACATTTGCTTGTATTCAAAACAGGCAAACACATCGCTCTAATAGTAATAAACAACATATCTGGATGCATGTAAAACAGCCACTATTCCATTTCCCACTTTCTGCTGTAGTTGTATTTGGCTCACACTGTGCTTTAGGCTTGTGTCCAGTGTTTAAGGCCACAGGGAAAAACCCACAAACATGCTCTCGGACTTGGACAGAGAGGGACAGGACAGTGAAGTCTGCAGGATCCACTGCTACACGCCTACGCACCAGCAACACGGCATCGCACGCCAGGCTCAAGCGAAGCAGAGGAGACGAGGTGAGGAAATACAAAGGTTCTGGCAGCTAAACAACAGCAGAAATGAAAAATGTGGGTTTGTGTGCAAGAAGCTTAACATGCAAAACACCACGATGTCAGAGAAAAATATATTGCTTTAGTAATTACAAGTATGCGCTGAAGTGTATGAATGAGTGATGGGTGCTGGTCGGATAGAATACAAAGCTTTCAAATATGACATTTTACAATATTTTCCAATGTGAATTTGCACTTGCTGTGGCTGTGCAGCAAGTGCAGAGGCTCCCCTCTGTGATGGCGGTAAGTTAGAGTACTTCCTCTCATTTAACACTTGAACGGTCACAAAACTGAGGGCTCTTCACTGTTCTCTCTTCAGACGTCGCCATCGCACCTTCCGAGCTGTAGCCGAGCCATCCTGTCATGTCTCAGACTTTCAAGAGATACTGATTTATGTAAGCTTTAGCGGTCTGAAAAGCCTCTGACAAGTGATTGAATATGAGTGGCATATTAGTTAATTGATATAGGTGCACTATGCCACTTTTCTTTTGGGTGCCTCCTCCAGCTTGTCTCTTTGGGAATGCTGTGTCTAGAAGGTTTCACGACGACATTGCCGAAGATAGATATGTACAGAGTTACATTTTAGGGGTTTCTTTCAAACCTTCTGAGCTCGTACACTTCCTATCGGAGAGAAAAAAATCCAATACATTTCGATATGTCGCTTTTTAGATTAGTTTGTTTATAAAATGAATGTCACTTTTAGAACTATTGAGATGACATAGTAAAAATACTAGCTCACTGATATCCGTAGTGAAAATTGTACACTCTAAGAAGTAAAGAGTTGCATTAAATTGATAAAGACAAGTTAATGTAACAATACTGCTGGACTTAATTAACTTTATTCGTTAAATCCAAAACAACAATTCTTACAGTATAGTATTGATATCCTTTGTGCTGATGTACTAAAAAAAATCATCATCATCCAAATCACTGCTCTGTTATATGTCTAATAAGTGTTACTTATTTACTCGAAGTGTGTTAAGATTTTTAAAGCATGCCTTAATCTCTATTTTTGTTTTACTTTAATATAACTTGTTGCACCATGTGTCAAAGCAACTTCCTAGTTTGCTACTTCCTGTAACTTAAAATGGCAATACTGTATCAGACCCACCGGGCCTGTTTGACGGACACGTGTGGCCCATGTACCTGAAACACAAGACCATCATTCTGTATTCTGAATCTGAGACAATTCAGAGATTGCAGATGATCATTGAGCCATACAATCTTTTTATTTATTTATTACAAAATGCCTGCACACTGCTGCTGGGTAGACAAATACCACTACATAATACAGACAAATACCACTACATAATACAGAGGAATCCTCCCCAGATGACATGTGCATATCTCAATATCCATGTGCAGACGATTTATGTCGAGTTGAATTAGAAAAAGACCCTCAGTTCAAAAGAAAGCTGCAACGTGAACGTAGAGGATGCTAATGCGGGACTTGACCCCACTTCAGTCTGTTTGTGTTTCTGTGTTTTATGAGGAAGTTCATGAAATCATTTACACTTCAAACGGCGTTGTGCTCTGTGATCTTCACTCAGACTAATTATGCAGAGTTTACTTGAGTCGCACACAACAGCGAAGCAGGTGAGCAGTGTGCGACTCAGAGAGGCTGCTACAATCTGACCTTGAGTCGTTCCATTCTCTTTTTCTGAGACTGACAGTATACACAAGTGATATATCAGAACAAAGAAGACAGCTATATTTGACACATTAACTACAAACACATTTATTAATACTAAGTCTATGCTGAGAAGTGTTGGGTGTAACTCAGTCAGTCAGTAATTAGTTCAGATTACTTTTTTGAGCCTGAAATGCATTACTTTGAAAATACTAAATGATATTTATTATTTACTATAGGAACTATAACACAGCTTAAGCAAGCAAATCCAGCTTCAACATGGATCATAAACGCCTCAAACATGTGTCTTATATCTCAGTAAATTTAACTCGGAACATTTCTTGAGATTGTAACCAAGTACTGTACATTATTACTTTTAAGTAATATGTAACAAAAGCCTTTTTCAGTAATGTACCGAACACTGATATTGAAAAACAATAGAGAATGTGATGCCTTTTTTGAGTTTTTATATAGTTTGTGTTATGAATTGTGGTTTTACAATTACTATATTTGTCAAAACGCCAAACAATTCTGACCAAAATCTAGTTTTAGTTGACACACCAACACACCAAACCCATATTAGTCAATGTTGCCTTTCCCACTGTGGCACGTGGTTTTCCAGAGGTCTCCCATCACAGTAATAACCAAGCGCTGTTCTAAAATACTGAGACAACAGGGGACGCAATGGTCCTCTAAAAGCGTCATTTAGGAACGGCAACATATATAACATACAGGATCAAACATTTGACAGAGACAGATTTCCCACACGACTCTTTCTGGAGGCTCCACTGTTTCCACTCTACTTCCCGCTTTCTCTGACACAAGACAAATGGTGATAAAACGCACGCAGCACACGTTGAATTAAAACTAACGACTCCTCTGCGTCCATTGTAGGGAGCTGCTGTAGGCTAAAGTCTGGAGAGGGCTAACTATGCATTTAGGGAAGGGGAAAAAAGGACAATTTCTTTAGTACTTGTATGAGAAAGATTCAGACAAATGTGTCAAGAGAAAGTTGAAATATTGCCAACTCATGTACATCCATTGGGCCAAAAACAAGAAATAGAGTGATAGTATAACAATTATTAAGGCATTGCACTAGGCCAGGTCAGCAGCCTTTATCATACAAGATTACAAGATTAATTATTTATAATTATTATTATTTATTACTGCCCGAAGGAAATGTGTTTGCTACATTCGAAAGTACACATAAGACATACTGTAGAACACACTACAGTAACACAGACATAAACCTTCACCGTTCTGACCAATGGATTATCAAGAGAGGCCTGATAAGAAACAATAGATTTAACACAACATCCAAACACGGGTTTTCATTTCGCTTGGTCGGGGAGCCTACCTGGTTGATGATATAAATGCCGTAGTCGATCCTTTGCCGCCGGAGTATCGGGTGGAGGTAGTGCAGCCAGTATTTAAGATGATTTTCTCTGTGCCGAAACGGAATGATGATGGCCACCTACAAAAGCCAAGTGTATGGTTAAAGAGTTTTTATTTGTGTTGGAAAGAGTGCTGATACATTTAAAGGTACACTGTGTAATTTTTAGTGTTATCTAGCGTTGAGATCTTATTTTGCAGTGTCTGTCTTTGACAGTGCTCCTCAACTCTCAGTCATTCACTAGACTGCCAAGGAAAGAATACTTTAGTTTGATAAATGACCGGATTTCTCCAAACATCTCGGGCACTTGACAGTCGCGTGGAGGAGTGGATGTAAACAGGACCGCGTTCAGACGCGGCACCCTGCAAAGAGGCAGTACTGAGTTCTACCATGGATCTATTGTAATATATAGTTTATATATAGAGTCGCATGGAGGAAAAACATCTGCGGGAGCTTAAAACTACGATGATCAAAGAAGCAGGACATAAGCACAGCCGCTGCAGAACTTGGCTAAAAGCTCATGTTAGCATTAGCGTTAGCCACAGCGCTGCATACCATCACGGTAAGAAAACAGAACATTCACTCACGCTGCTGATGAAGTATTCTGGCGATTGTTTTGTGGGGATTCTGTGTGTTTTATTTGAGGCTTTGTCCCTGAATAAGTTTAGTTGAAACTTGTGGCAGTAGTTGGACTGCGCTCGGATCGGGTCAGAACATCCTTAGACTGTGTTGCAGATTCTGCCTCGTTCTCATTATTGTCAGTGTGTAAAATGTTACGTATTGTTCACGTGTGAGTTAGTTGTGTACAAACTACACAATGTGCCTCCTGTTGTGTTAACGCTGTCTTCCGGTGCGTGTGGTTTGCGATGTTGACACTTTGCTGCTATGACGCCGGACTTTTGCATAATTATTTTTCTAAAAGATTGTTGTTCGGATTGTTCTTTTACAGAAATGTGGTCCTCCCATTGATCTATTAGGTTACTTCTTCCAACTTATGAAGGCACGGTGAAAGCAACAATATCAGTGGCTCGTGTGAAACGAAAACGCAATTCTCGCATCCCTTTTGTCCTTATCCACCACTGTTTATCAAGATGGTGCATTGACACGGAGAGCACTTCTCTCTCATGGACATTTATAAGTTAAATTCTAAGAATGAATGAAATATGAATACAATTCAAAAACATGGTGGAGGTAAATATTCTTAAAAAGGTCAAGTTTTTTTCATATGGAGCAGCTGTAAAAATTACAGTTTGGCTTTAAGATGAAGAGGTAAATTATTAGTCCCACAGAGATCAAAAATAGCAAACTCACAGATTCTCCATTCATAAGGACTAAAAGGGTTCAAACTGAAGTTAAACACTTGATTTACCTCACCCTATAAATCTATTTCAAATCATAATGAATGAATTCATGGTCACAAATTCTTTTCAGAAACATTTACGATTGTATTTGCAGGAGCACATTTATTATAAGAAACTACACATTTGTTGAAGAACAGCGAAGGTTGTATTTCAAGCCCAATCTATTCACTTAGTTTGTGTATACTATATTTTCAAAAACATTTGATCAAAAAATGTAATGGTAAGAGATCTTCTTATGTTTATTTTTCAAGGTTATTTTGAAATGGTGCATTTGGTGCAATAAATGGAGCAGTGAAGTGATGTTAGCGTTGCATTATGTGTGTCTTGTACAAGTAGCAGAACTGGCTCAAGGTCGAAAAATACGGATTTCAACACTTTGATTAATAGTGATCTTTGGATAACCTTGATATTTTCTTGGTTTAGACTTGAATCAAAAATGTCTCTGTATTTACCAATTTCACTGATTTGGTAGAAATAGCAAATGATCTTTGGCATGTGTTTTTGAATGATTAAACCAGATGAAAAAGACCCGTACCTTCCATCTGGGCCTGCAGTCGGGTGGAGTGTAGCGGCCTCCGTCGGTGACATTTGGGTTTTCCTTCTGCACTCGCTCCATGCTCATCTGGGAGCTGAACTCGATCAACAGACGGCCCACTGCAAAGACAAGCAGCAAAAGATTTCCTTTAACTGAGATCAGAACGAGCTATGATACTGAGGTCATACAGCTTCAGTTAGTGTCGGATTCAAGACAGCACCAGGGGTATTACCCGCCTGAGGGCCATGTTTCGGCATTAATACGATTCATGGAAAGCAGAAGAAAATAAACAACTTTGAAGATAAAACATGGAATTATTGAAAACACAGATCATTCCTTGTGCTGTGGAAAATACATTCAAATACTTCAATTCCACTGGAAGGACTAAACTAAATGCTTTAACTCTGCACCCTATATTGGGATCTGATCAATGCACACATTTGCATATTGTTAGAAGAACAGATTTTGGACACAGCTCTGTTAGCTGTTGATCTCAGAGCTTATTCACATAAACTTACTACCAGAGAGTTTATGTGAATAGCAGACGGAGCCCAAACAAGGAAGGGAAATACACAGACTTGTTTCTTATGTGATTAGGGCAATAGTCAGAGCAGAGTTTATGGATCTATCATTTGGACTACATCATGTTTTTATAGTATGTCAAAATAGATTGGCGTAAACAGTGCATTAAAACACCTCATTATGTTGTGATCAGTTAAAAGAGTTACGTTACAACACAAAATCCTGCAGCTTATATTCAATTGGCCTTTATGTGGACATGTATTTTCTCTTAACTTTTAGCTGTACTGTATCTCTTCTCAGTCAATAGTTTTGAGGTCTGACAATTGTTGTTCATAGGAAGAACTGGAGTACTTGTCTGTGTCCGAAACTCGTGATAACAATTGTGATGACAGCTCTTGAAGCCCATCAGTAAGGATTTGGTTTAAGTATCTCATAATCTGTGTTTACAGAGTCTGGTTGGAATAAACACAATAATTTGACATACGCCATGCTTAATCACATCATTTGGAAACAAGTGACGTAGAATCAAAAGGCTGTGAGTCAATAATCTGCTAAGATGCGCACTGTGGCTTGGTCTCAATTAGATAAATGTGTTTTGAAAATCTGGAAATGATCCTCCTCTCTTCTATTTGCTCCTTGACTTGACATCTAAAGCTGGATGAAGCTATTTATGTCAAACAACTGCACATTCAAAATTATAATACCACCAAAAAAAGTCCCAAAAGATTGAAGTCGTTTGGCAAGCTATGAAGTATTTGCTGAAAACTGGGCAAGAATTCATACATTCTCCAAAGGTATGTAATCTCATGAGCTGCACTGGCCACCGACAAGTTGCTGCAGTATGGATGGGTAAAAAGCAAGACTAGGGATGTAAATCGGCGACCGGTTAACCGGTGGTTGACCGTCACAGCGTTAACCGGTCAAAGCTGTCGGTTAAAAAAGAGAAAAAGGGGAGAGGGGAGGTCTCTTAATAACGCTATTTTAAGCCCTATTTGCACGGTGTGACGAGCGGGTCTGTATCTAGCTGTATGCGCCCATGTATTATAAACTCCGGGACGACTCTCACGCCGCACGAGCCACATATGCACACACACACGCGCGCGCACACACACACACACTTTCCCCCTCTCCATACGTAACATCCACACGCATCATCTCTCCCCTCACCGTCAAAGTTGCACACTGGCGCGGGTCAGAACTACATTGGAGCTTACATTTACACACACACATATACATACACACACACACACATACATACACGTTTTTGTTACCTGGTGGGTCCCTTTGACAGGGCCGTTCAGAATGGGACCCATAGACATAATCTTTTTTTACCAAGACTTTAAGTAATACAAAACAGTCAATAGAAACCAAACAACTATTTTAAAGGAATTTTATTTTAGATTTTGTTTTCGAATTGCAGTGATTCTATTTTTGACATAGAATTTAATGCCACTCCATGTCCGATGTCTAAGGTCATCTGGTGAGGCATTAATGCAGGCCAGGCAGTGAGACTTCCCAGGGACCTTTCCAGTCTGTATGAAAGGTGTCATGGTCTTCTCCACAGCCTTCACCTCAGATGCAGACCATGGCTTTCTTACACGTTCTAGGGAGAGAAATAAAAATATATTAGCAATATACACTCCCAGGGTGAGGACCAAGCAGCCTGGCTGTAATCCCCCACCTGGTACACTTACCAGAAGGGGCACTGCCACTACCATGGGGTGCATCTGGATGAATGGTTGAAGGTTCTCCGCTTGAAGTTTCTTTTAGCCCGTCCGTTTGTGAGAGGATCTCTACTGCTCTCCCTGTCGCACAGAAAATAAAAATACAAGTGGCCTTTAGGGGAAAAAAATCATACATATTTTAATAATATCAAGAATTACCTTCAGGCTCAATTTGTATCTGGTCGAGGCTCTTTCCTTCGAATTCCGTCACTCTTCCCTGCTCCATGGCCATCAACACTTTGCTGATTTTGGCCAGCTCCAGTGTCCCCTCTGGTAGTCTGTAATATTGCCTGTGGATGCGAATGTCATGGCCGAGGAAGTTGGCAAGTATGTCCATCTCATTCTCTTTCATATTGAGAACTGTAGACATAGTAGCTATGTGCTTTCTAAGTTTGGTTGAGGATAGCATCTCTGGATGCACCGCACCACATTCTTTGGCTACCTGGCGTAGGGAGTCTGATCCCCTGATGTGGGTGTCTGCGCCCGGGCGGGAAAAGAAGTATGGGTTATGGTCAGAGATGGAACAGGCCCTTCTGTTCTCCACCAGCACCTCCATCGAAGCAATCATTTCAGGAGTCAAAAGAACCGGCACTTTCCGACTTCTTTTCCCTTTAATTTCAATGCGTTGAAAATGCTGACACAGCTTTTTCTCAAGTTGGGACAGTCCCAGAGCAATGTCAGAATGGATCCCAGTCTTACTTCTTAAGGTAAAGGCTGTCAGTGGCATCTTTGAAACCTCACCTTCCCTTCTTCGATTGAAAATGATGACCTCACAAAGAGTCAAAACTGCCAGTTTAGACCAATGCTTAGACGTTGGCTCACTTATTAGGGTTTGCACATATTCAGGTCGACATACCTCAATATGTGCATGCATGGCTCTAACGTCCTCAGTCAGAGGGAGCAGGTCCGGAGTGTTCCACTTGGCTTGCCGGAGGGTCTGTAGGGCAGCAGAAGAAACACAGACGTCCCACCTCTTCTCAAAAAGCAGCCGGCTTCGTTGGAGGTTTTTAATAAATAGTTCATCAACACAATGCTCCATTTTTGAGTCACATTCAAGAATATCTGCTAGCTTTCTGAGGCTATGGCCGAGTTTGAGGGCCAAGGATGGAGTCTTGTATTGATTTGTTTCCTCATCATATCCAGCCACAGACCTGACTGCATCAATCACATGGTTAAAGTTGGAAGGAATAAAGAAATCCTTAATTGTTTTCAGTTTCCCTGCGGTTTTTGCTTCGTTAATTAACCTACCGACTTCTCTCATTTTCTGCCTAATGTAATCATGCTTTGTCTTATCATGCCCGTGTTTTAAGTACAGGTGCTCTCCGAGTCTCAGAATCCCCTTTTCTGCTTTGACAACACCCGTGACCTCATCCTGATGCATTGCCGAAATTAAAGACCACAGCTTTTTGCTGATGCCCTCCGGTACAGGCTGGGCTAGGGAGCAGAGGGACTGGACCCTACTTCTACCTGGTTTAGCCTGGGCATCTTTCTGTGAAAGCCGGCACCTGGCCACATGCCTCCACAGCGACTTTCGCTTAAGCAATGCCCCACAGTCTATACAGTGCAAAAACTCACTGGATTTAACTGGGCAATTTGGCTGTTTAGCTGGGACTAAAGTTCCAATGCCGGCCTTTAAAACCTCAAAATTGTGCTCACGGTTTCCACTATTCCTGATCAAATCAAACTGAAGTTTACGTGCTTTAGATTTCACAGGTAGAGCCAATGCTCTGGCTACGTCACTTTCATTTCCATGTTTTCTAGTCAAATGACGGGACATTTTGTGGCAGGACATTGAACAGTAGAGGCAGAAGTGTCTCTTGCTGTATACTCGCCCCCCATTTTTCTTCTTTTGCAGCTGCATGATAACAATCTTATTTGCCTTTGGTTCGTCACTTTCCGAGTCTTGAAGAAAAGTGTTTTTGATTTTTCTTTTTCCATACTTTTTTACAGGTTTCTTCTTGACAGTTAAATCGTCAGAATCTGAGTCGACTTCATCAATTAGGGACTCTTGACTAAGCTGCACAAACAACAAATAATTTGTAATCATTCTATATAACAATTTGAAGTCATGACTTGTAGTCAGCACTTACCAGTGGTTTGTAAGCGTGCGCTTCAGTGTGCTCCTCCATGATTTCTTGCAGCCTAATGAACCACACACTTGCACCTTTTTCTAGCCTGACACCTGATTTCCTCTGTTGTGCTGCTCCATGATTGGCTCCAGCCTGCTGGACTGAAATTGCCCCAGTGTGCCCCTCCTTGATATCCCGCAACCCACCACCAGGGTTCCGACACATAACACACTTTTTTCAGGAAAGTAAACCTCCAGGGGTCCTTTCCATATTTTTACAGAGACTGCATAAGGACCGTTAGAAAAGCATTACCCATTGATTATTAAGCTTGGACCAGTGGGGTCCGGTGTTCGGGCCCCACCACGTAAAACCAGTCCCCATGACGTGAGTGGAATCTCAGGTTATGGAACCCACCAGGAGTTGAAAACAAGTGCACACATATTCTCAAAGAATAAGGGTGGGCGCATTTCTCCCCGGGAGAGAGCGCATGAAATTTGTCTTGAAAAAGAGCAATGACAGGTCCCAGAACCAAGGGGAGTCCCTGGAGGTTTTAACCCCGAAAAAAGCCCTTAAATCCGGCTTAAAATAGGGCCATGCGGGTCCCAGAACCGAGGGGATTCTGTGGAGGTTCTATCCCCGAAAAAAGTCAGGCCTTTTCTCTGCGTACCTTGTTGAGATCGCCCCTTTCTCACCACATCGTTTTTCACCGCCAAAAAAAACAAAAAAAACCATTTAGCGTCGGTATGGGGGCTGGGAACATCATGGGCAGAATTCATTTCGATGGGGGGAAGGATATCAGCGTGACACTCCCTTGTCTGTGTCATTTATGGAGCGGCCTTGGAGGAAATACTGCCGGCTTCTGGGGTTACAACGTCAGAGCGGCTCTTCCGCGGGCCATACGTTATGTTTTGTGTTGTGGCTTATTTTATCGGCCTGTATTTGTGTGGAAGAGGAGAGGAACCATCCATCCACAGTAGGATAAGTTAGAGAGGGAGTGTATGTGGACATTTGTCTGTGGCCTGACGTAGCCCTGTGTGCTCCTGGACGACACAGACATTAAACTGTCTTCAATAAAAGGGCATCGCTCACCCAAAAACACACAAAATCATACAGGTGAAAAGATGGGGCGATGTTATGGTCGGAAGACGTACATATTCCGAAAATTCTATAGCATTGTTCTCTCATCCAAAAACAGACTGGAGTGGTTTTATTTTATGATAATTCCACCGTATGATTTAAGACTGAGGACATTACGCCAAACAGTTGAGGATCAATAAAGTAACTATCCTATCTGTCATAAAGCTCCAGTCTCAGTCCTGTAATAGTATGAAACTCACGGAGCAGTTTTATGTTGGTGTGTGTCCGTGTGGTGTCCTAGTTATGTGTCTGGTTGTGTCTGGTGTGTGTCCGGTGTGTGCCAGTGTGTGTTCAGGTGTGGTTCAGTGTGTTGTCCAGTATGTGTATGGTGTGTGTCCAGTGTGTTATCCAGTGTGTGTGTGTAGGTATCTGCTAGTTCATTCCAGGAAGTGATCATGGGCAATCGTGGCTGCTTCTCTGATCAGTCTTTCATCGTTTGTTTGAGTATGAATGTTTGGAGGGACGGGCGGGCTTGGTAGATTTGCAGTGGTCTGGATACTCCTTCCATTTCTAATATAATTGCTTGCACAGTGCTCCTTGAGATGTTTAAAGCTTGGGAAATTCTTTTTTGTATCCAAATCCGGCTTAAACTTCTCCACAACAGTTTCTCGGGACCTGCCTGTGTGTTACTTTGTCTTCATGGTTCTCTCCTGTGCTTTAAACAGACCCCTGGAGACTATCAAGAGCAGGTGCATTAGACAGGAGACTTGATTTCACACAGGTGCAGTCTATTTATCCTTCATCAGTCATTGTTGGTATCATTCATTGGTTTCATTCAACGTTTCCTCACTGGAACTCCCTGGGATCTGAGTTTGCTGCACTGAATAGTAAAGGGGCCCAATAATATTGCACGCCCCCACTTTTCAGTTTTTTTAGTTTGTTAAAAAAGTTTAAATTATACCGACTACAATTTGTCTCCACTTTCACGATTGTGTCCCATGTTATTGATTCATTCACTTTATGTTTGAAGACTGAAATGGGCGAAAATGTTGAAGGTTAAGGGGGCCGAATACTTTTCGCAAGGCACTTAAACCATTACTATACTCAGTCACATACACACAGTGCTTGTTGCTTTCTTTATGGACATGGCTGGGCACCGTCCAGGTCATTATTTCACCACAGCACCCTGCAGGCCACGCTGTCGCACATCTTCTAACCGTCACCGCTGATAAAGAACAAGAAACCTGGCTCCCGCAGGCGATTAAACCAAGCGTATGGACGGCATCATCCATAGACTAGCTCTGACTTAATTTATCTTTTTAAACGTCAAGACCAAGCTTGGACTAAATACAAAGAGTCTAAGGACCCTAATGACTGGGAGATCTATAGACGGGTCAGGAATCAATCCAAAACCCAAACTAGGAATGGTAAGTCCAATTACTATAAGGAAGCCCTCGGTCTGAACTACAATAATCCTAAACAATTTTGGAAACACCTGGACCAGCCAATCTCTCACCAATCATGTTACTGTTAATAATACTACAATTTCTGATCTTAACTTAATCTCTGAATGCTGTAATGAATATTTCTCCTCCATAAGTAGTACACAGCACTCTGGTCATCCACACTTACCTAATCCACTACATGACGTTGTTCCTGAGACATAATTTTCTTTTAACTCATTGTGTGCCATTGACGCATTAATACGTCAATTGCCTTTTCCGCTATTTTCACGTTCCCAGATGTCTATTGTATCTAATATGTATGGGGATGACTTGAGACCATATTTTATCGAGCCAGCAGGTGGCGCCATTGCTCTCTGAATGGTTTGAAAACAGTTAGGTGCACATGTTGTGCCTCTTTTTTCTCAACTTTCTGGTGATTTCAGTAAAACTTCCCTCTACTCGACGGAGGATTACAGGGGAACGAAAAAAGCTATAAACAAAATTCTTTTTGCTGAGGAAAGTAGACAGTCCATTCTTTTAGAATCTGGAACGAAATTTATTGGATAATTTAAACTTTTTTAACAAATAAAAAACTGAAAAGTGGGGCGTACAATATTATTCGGCCCCCTTGCGCCAATACTTTGTAGCGCCACCTTTTGCTGCAATTACAGCTGCAAGTCGCTTGGGGTATGTCTCTATCAGTTTTGCACATCGAGAGACTGGAATTCTTTCCCATTCTTCCTTGCAAAACAGCTCGCGCTCAGTGAGGTTGGATGGAGAGCGTTTGTGAACAGCAGTCTTCAGCTCTTTCCACAGATTCTCGATTGGATTCAGGTCTGGACTTTGACTTGGCCATTCTAACACCTGGATACGTCTATTTGTGAACCATTCCATTGTAGATTTGGCTTTATGTTTTGGATCATTGCCCTGTTGGAAGATAAATCTCCGTCCCAGTCTCAGGTCTTTTGCAGACTCCAGGTTTTCTTCCAGAATGGTCCTGTATTTGGCTCCATCCATCTTCCCATCAATTTTAGTCATCTTCCCTGTCCCTGCTGAAGAAAAGCAGGCCCAAACCATGATGCTGCCACCACCATGTTTGACAGTGGGGATGGTGTGTTCAGGGTGATGAGCTGTGTTGCTTTTACGCCAAACATATCGTTTTGCATTGTGGCCAAAAAGTTTGATTTTGGTTTCATCTGACCAGAGCACCTTCTTCCACATGTTTGGTGTGTCTCCCAGGTGGCTTGTGGCAAACTTTAAACGAGACTTTTTATGGATATCTTTGAGAAATGGCTTTCTTCTTGCCACTCTTCCATAAAGGCCAGATTTGTGCAGTGCACGACTGATTGTTGTCCTATGGACAGACTGTCCCACCTCAGCTGTAGTTATCTGCAGTTCATCCAGAGTGATCATGGGCCTCTTGGCTGCATCTCTGATCAGTCTTCTCCTTGTTTGAGATGAAAGTTTGGAGGGACGGCCGGGTCTTGGTAGATTTGCAGTGGTCTGATACTCCTTCCATTTCAATATAATTGCTTGCACAGTGCTTCTTGAGATGTGTAAAGCTTGGGAAATCTTTTTGTATCCAAATCCGGCTTTAAACTTCTCCACAACAGTATCTCGGACTTGCCTGGTGTGTTCCTTTGTCTTCATGGTTCTCTCTGCGCTTTAAACAGAACCCTGAGACTATCAAAGAGCAGGTGTATTTATACGGAGACTTGATTACACACAGGTGCATTCTATTTATCATCATCAGTCATTTAGGACAACATTGGATCATTCAAAGATCCTCACTGAACTTCTGGAGTGAGTTTGCTGGACTGAAAGTAAAGGGGCCGAATAATATTGCACGCCCCACTTTTCAGTTTTTTATTTGTTAAAAAAGTTTAAATTATCCAATAAATTTTGTTCCACTTCACGATTGTGTCCCACTTGTTGTTGATTCATGACAAAAAATTAAAATTTCATATCTTTATGTTTGAAGCCTGAAATGGCGAAATGTTAAAAGGGTCATGGGGGCCGAATACTTTCGCAAGGCACTGTAATTCTCACATTTTGCCCTCCGCAGGCGGTTCTCCCTCTCTGAGCTCGGGTCCTCTACCAGAGGCCTGGAAGCTTGAGGGTTCTGCGCAGTATCTTTGCTGTTCCTAGCACTGCACATTTCTGGACCGAGATGTCCGAGGTTGTTCCAGGGATCCGCTGTAACCACTCTTGTAGCTTCGGGGTCACTGCCCCGAGTGCACCGATCACCACGGGCACTTCTGTCACCTTTACCCTCCAGGCCCTCTCCAGCTCCTCTCTGAGACCTTGGTATTTCTCAAGCTTTTCATGTCCCTTTTTCCGGATGTTACCATCGCTTGGAATTGCCACGTCCACCACCACGGCTGTCCTCTGCCCTTTGTCTACCACCACTATGTCAGGTTGGTTTGCCATTACCATTCGGTCGGTCTGTATCTGGAAGTCCCACAGGATCTTTGCACGCTCATTCTCCACCACCTTTGGAGGAGTTTCCCACTTAGACCTTGGAGTTTCCAGCCCATATTCTGCACAGATGTTTCTGTACACTATGCCAGCCACTTGGTTATGGCGTTCCATGTAGGCCTTGCACCCTGCAGTTATGCGTTTGATCGTCTCAGGTGCCTCTTTGCACAACCGACACCTTGGGTTTTGGTTGGTGTGGTATATCTAAGCCTCTATCGCTCTGGTGCTCAGGGCCTGCTCCTGTGCAGCCATGATGAGTGCCTCTGTGCTGTCCTGTAGGCCATCCCTTTCTAGCCATTGGTAGGACTTCTTGAGATCAGCCACTTCTGTTATGCTCCGGTGGTACATGCCGTGTAGGGGCTTGTTCTCCCATGATGGGCTCTCCTCCAGCACCTCCTCATCTCGCCACTGCCTGAGACATTCACTGAGTGCGTCATCCTTTTTGGCCTTCTCCATGATGTAGTTATGGAGTTTGGATGTTTCGTCCTGGACAGTGGCTCTCACACTCATCAGATTTGCAGAGGAGCTTTTTGATATATATATATATACAGTACATATATATATATATATATATATATATATATACTATATATACACACACACATACACAACATTTCAATGTTAATGAAATATCTATTTCTACTGGTTCTGGAAGAGCCTTTGGAAGAAGGAAGCAGCACACATCAGTGCTCAATGACAAAAGCGTATGGTCTTTTTCAGAATCAATTTGAAGAGAACTGTTTCAAAGTATTTATTGTGAGCACTAAAAAGACAGCATCAAAAGTAAATGGTGGGTGATTTAAAATAAATTCAAATTATTCATTTTTGAACGTCTAACACAAAGTTTTTGTTTTGTGATTCCAGAGATAATTAAACTCCAGGCTTTTCTTCAAAGTCTGAATGACCGGAAAGACCTTGAGTTGAATTATATATCTTCAGCCTACGGCATCCTGGCTCTGATGGTGGGGGCACGCTCTGGAAATGTGAGTTTAAAACATGGACAACAGGACTCAAGGGGATGCTTTTCTATCTGATATAATGTGTTTGGTTTTAGCCTCAACAGAAAAGAGAATTGCATAAAAAGCTTAGTGCCAGAAGAGGTCGTAATATCAATTACATGAATAAGAAGATGGATGGTGTATACGATGACTTCGCAAATAGTCTCACAGAAGGAGTCAACAAGGCCAAAAAAGAAGGGGAAAAAACCATGAGACATAAAATAGTATTGGGTTACTTACATATTCATTGCTAATATCCCACTAATAAATCATATATATATTAGGGCTGTCCAAAATAGCGCGTTATTAACGCGTTAACGCAAATCAATATTAACGCCGTCATTTTTTTTATCGCGCGATTTTTTTTTTTACTTTTTATTGCAGACAAACACATAGAAACAAAGAAAAGGACTAGTTCAGATACATTGTAGACAGAGATTACAAACAATATGTAGTTGGAGATACAGGGGGCCAAAGAAGAAACCCAGAAGGGCACATAGGAGGGGAGGGACATGAAGTGGGAGATGGGGGGAGGGGTTAATAAAAAAGGCAATACAAGCAAACAGTATACAGTCATAGATATACCGAAGGTAAACAGAGAAACAGCATAGAGTATTTACATGAACAAATTTACAAAATATTTACAGATTGTTTATCATCATCATAATGACACCATGATGTTTCTATACAGTCTATGGTCTATACCCACACATACACACACACACCCACACACACACATTGAAGGGGCTTTTTGTTACCAATTATTTATTTTGTCATCCATTTATTGATGATTTTGCATCAAATGTTAGTGTGTAATATAACACTACACATTGTTTTCAATAAAAAAAGCAATTGCACACAGCACGCAAATGTGTGACTAATTTGCGATTAATCGCGAGTTAACTATGAAATTCATGCGATTAATCGCGATTAAATATTTTAATCGTTGGACAGCACTAATATATATATATATTTTATTAGTGGGATAATTGTATATATATAATATACATAATACAGACACATTCATATCTATATATTGCTTTTCTTCAGAACGACATGGGAAACAATTTTTCGACGGTTCTAAGTGTTATGAAGAAATACGGCAACCACAGAACAAGAAAAAGAAAGCAAATCAACCTAAACACAGCAATTTCCTCGTTTCTGACTAACAGCATTGACTTGAAATTCAGAAAGGCCTTTCCGTAAGTATAAGTCTTTGCTCTATGAGATTCTGGTAGAGCTGGCTCATTATCCCAGCAAACTCTGGATAAGAGTGAAAGAGTGAAGTAAAATAACAACACAGGGACACATGTACTGTACAAAAAGATTGTATGGTCCTAACCCAGTGGTGGGCAAACCCTCGGTTCTTGAACTCACAGCGCAGGGAGTCTTTTAAATTGAGCACTCCAAGACGCCTCTGCAGAGGTTCCACCAGCATAGCATAGTCCTGTCTCTCATCTGGAGACAGAAGCAACAGACAGGCAGCCGCCTCTTCAGTCAGGGATAAAGCCAATTGCACTGCCTTCATCTGGCCTGACCAGCCCGCTGTCGCAGCCAATAATTCAAACTGGGCCAGATACGCCTCTAGATTCCCACTGCCCGAGAACAGTTATAAAGCTTATATTTAACATATAGTATATATTTTGTGATAAACAAAAATAGTGACGTTTGTTCCACAAATTGTGACCAGGTATTATGTATGAGCCATCACTGTTTTCATCTGGGCATTTGGGATGCCAAAGGACAATTCTGTTGCCATTTGTTTACAAGGGCACCATCTACATGTCACCCATAGAATAGAACATGAAAACACGTCAAAAAGACAATATATATGGTAGGAGATACCATGGCGAGGCTTTATTATAATAAAGAGCTGCAACTTCTAGATGATTATTCCATTCATCTATAATATTCTCGCAACAGCCTTAAAGTTACACAGGTACCCAATATTTCTTTTCTATTAATTTCTAGAGGAATAAGAGTTAGCTTGACCTACAGGTCTACACACATTTTTGATTTTCCTACCGTTCTCTAACCTGTGATGCAATACTGAATATTTTCCTTTTGTGGTGAATAAATTATCTAAATGAAAAGGCGTTTAACTGTTTATTAAAGTGATAGCCTGTAACTCTAAATGAATTACAAATTTTAGGAAATGTGTTAAATTGACCTCCTGGCCTTAAATATTGATATAAAATAAGTCATTTTATTAATTCTAATATTACAGGTAAGTCCTGCCTTCACTTCTCTTAGCTATAGTTCAGAATCCACGGTGCCGTCGAGGTTAACCAATCGAGTCATGCCAAGGGCTGTCAATCATCAGCGCTGATGCTTGCAGCTGCACGCATGCGCAGTTGTTTGTTTTCACGGAGCCTCCGAATCAAGGCTCTGGAACTACATGAAAACTGAACAAAGAATTCTGAACATCCGCGCTGAGGTACTTATGTATATACTGACCCTATATCCATAATCAGATCCTCTGCAGGTGTGTCCTATAATGTGCAATTTATGATAATAGCACTTCCGGGTTTTCCGCGATCGCTTTTTTGTGCATAAAAACATTCTTTTTTTCATTAAAACATTAACGAATCATTCTGAAAACCTCCGTGCATGTGTATTAATAATGTATATGTATAATGTGTTCTCTGATTAACATTTCAAAGTGTTACGGAAACGTAGGTGTAGACCAATCAGAAAGGAAGGGGGAGGGAGCTTGCGTCGTTTTTTTCAAATCAAGTACCTCTCTGTCTCTCTTTCCGACAAACTCCAGACAATCACTTTAATGCATTCGCAATACAACACATAACCCCTTTTATCCACACATTTGAAAGAAAAGGTTCCATGTCCTCAATATGAGAGAAGACAAACTTGAAGGGCTCCAATATGTTGTCTTGCTCCTCAGTGTCCGGGTCAAAACTGGTCTCCCTAAACTGAGAGAAGTCTGCTTGAGCCTTAGCAGCTTCATCTCCTTCCCAGTCCAGCACAGGAGGACATTTTATGTTTCCGATGTATAAAGACAAGTTGTCCTTTGCCCATCTTGCTGCCATTCGACTATCATTTAGGACTTTCAAGTCTAGATGTTCCAAGAATGAAGACAAACACAACAATGTGATTTTAAATGTATTAACAGTTAAAAGTATTTTTAGCACATTTATTAACATACAGTACAATCAATTATTGATTATATTTATTGTAAAAATTAAAAAAAATTGTACCTTTGTAAACAATTGCCTACCTTAAATGCGACTGCAAGTGTATCTGCATTTTATGTAACTTTTGGGGCTTCAACATTGGACATATGGGGCAGTGAAAGAGGGTGCAACAGTTTGTGCACCACTCCACAGGAAACTCTCCATTTACAATTGAATTGTGCATCTGAAAAGACACAATATAAACGTTAAGCATTATAGGAGTTGCAACGTTATCAATACGGAGTTTAACCTGCGTTAGTTGTACATAGCGATAGTGCCTTGATAGGTAATGGATGTTAAACCAAAGGGTTAATGGTTTACAATCATGTTAGCAATGCATCAACGCAAGGGGGGAAACGTTAACGCTAATATTTGTATGTTTTTTGTTCGGGGAGAACGGTGAGCAATAATGAACAGCACTGACTTTTCTGTTAATACACTGTAGCTTTGAGTTACTGTTAATAGTATAAAGCTAAGCGTCATATTGTCGCGGAAAGACAAGTGTAGCGGACAATAACTAATCAATCAATGTATCTGCAGTAATTGAATCACAAAACACGTATTTAAAACGAAGCATCTTACCAAGGACCGCGAATCGTCGCACGTGTAGTACGATCCAGTAGAGGAAGTGATGTAACAGGGGCTAACGTGACAGGGGCTCCTGAAGGAGAGGGCTGAACAGTGGGGGCAGGTCCCAGCTCAAAAATGGCCAAAATGACCAAAATTAAATAATCTATATTTTTAACCTGCTCATGTCAGTAAACTGTTTGTTGAAGACCTTTTTCTGAACAGTTTTGCATTACTAAAATAGTGATTTATAATGTATAGGTTTATTGTACTAGCAAATGACATTTACTTTACAAAAGTAAAGTCTATTTTCATATATTTATTTTGAACAAAAGTTTTTAACTACATCTGAATCATATTACTTTATCTTAGCTTTTATCAAAAAGGGGAGACATCACTGATCAATAGATCTGGTTTTAGCACACTTTTAAACAATACATTTTAACATTAAGTAATGAATTTGGGAACATAATTGCTAACTGCATTTTCTAAACATGATCTGGTTTTAACTCTGTTTTAACTTAATATTTTTAACATAGGACAAGTATTCTCAATTAGTAGTGAACTGAATATTAAACTAACGAAATCAGACTAGTTAACCATGATTTGTTCCTAGAGTTTGTTTTGTTTTGCCTAAACACAGTACAACATTTATAAACAATCAAAACAAAGTAACTGTTAAAGAGTCCGTGTTTCCGCTCCTCCAAAGGGCTCTTGAACGCATCATAAAACTCGCGAGTGAAGACGGCGCTTACCGGCTTCTTTCATGGGGTTGTAGAAGGGTTTGTTTTGCACAGTATTTGTTGCTTCTACTTGCGTGGATCGTGCGCTGCGATCACTGCTTGTCCTGCTTGAACTCACTCTGAAGTGTGTGTGTCCGTCTTTTTTAACACACCGGGCGGGTGCGGATTGCGCAGGTGAATAGTTCCACTCGCCATTTCCCTCCGGTGAGGAGGGGGAGTGGCAGTTCGCTAGCACAATCCTCTCAATTTGATAAAACATTAAATTGCTCAAAAGAATTATAATAGTAGGCTGAAAAAAAAGAACATAAAGGGGCCTTGCACCCAATTGTTTTGAAAGATGTGTTTGATTTTAAAAAACATTTTAGTGCAAGTAGATGTGAACCATGAGTGAGGAGTGTATCTCGATACAACACTAAAGTACTGGACAGTTTAGGTTCAGAGGGCGTTTAAGCGCCTGCGCGATCCCAGACATGTCTTACAGCGGAGGTCGGCAATGTTTGGCGGGCCAACTTTGGCCCGCTGGCCCCACCTTGGGCACCCCTGCTTTAGTTGCATTAAAAAAGTATTTTTGTCATAAAAACCTTAACAGATAATTATGCAAACCTCCGTGCACGTGTGTTACGAATGTATGTATAATACATATAATACATATATACATATTATATGCGTCGATTGATTGTCATTTGCGTTTATTGAGTGTGGCTAGCTCCGATAGTTTCTCTCTCAGAGACAGTAGTGGCGTAGCCCGTTGTGACCCCATGGATAAGATAAGATAAGATGTGCTTTATTTATCTCACAGAGGAGAAATTTACATGTCACATTTAGCATGGATAGAAACACTCAGATTGTGCAAAAGGAGGAAATGTGCAAACATGTTACATGCAGGATATATATGTACAATAAAAGTGACAATAATTATGTACAACAAAAGTGACAAGTGTCAATTGGAAACAGTGTCAATAGTAGTGCAGGTTTTCACACAGTGATCATTTAAAGTGACTTATTGTACAGTCTGACAGCGGTGGGGATAAAGGCCCTGCGGTAGCGCTCCTTCCTACACTGAGGGTGTCTCAGTCTTCTACTGAAGAAGCTCCTCAGCTCCTCTACAGTCCTGTGCAGTGGGTGGGAGGTATTGTTCATGATGGAGGTGGCTTTGGCTAGCACCCTCCTGTCCCTCACCTCCTCCACAGAGTCCAGGGAGCAGCCCAGAGTGGAGCTGGCCCTCCTGACCAGCTTGTTCAGTCTGTTTCTGTCCCGCTCTGTGCTGCCCGGGGCCCAGCACATGGCAGCGTAGTAAATGGCAGAAGCTACCACAGAGTCATAAAAAGTCCTGAGCAGAGGCCTGCTCACTCCGAAGGACCTATAATATCAGCTGACAGTAGCTAACTAATGATCAAACTAATTACAAAGTGGACAGTGCAAAAAACAACTTGATAAATGGAAGTTAATCACAGCAAAATAAACAAAGAAGGCGCTAGCATTGAATTTAAATGACAAGATAATGTTTGCATAATCCTCACCATTACCTTTTTATCAATTCAAACTTTCTAACAGTTACTGGAAGACGACGACATTCAAGCCAACGTTTTAATTGGCCAACACTATGATCCCTGATGGTTTGATCGTGAAATTTTGCTCCTGGTATCTCATTTTCGTCTAAAGTGACAAGTGGTATTTGATTCATTTCGGCAGTGTTTGTCCTAAACATGTGGGCGGGAGTTGACAGGCGGCGGGGGCGTGCCTTAGTGACGTCATTCAGATAGTCTGTGGAAGTTAGGTCCATGTCTCCTGATGACACCGCCAAGGGGGAGCATGTACAGGTTAAAAAGGACTGGACCTAAAATGGAACCCTGGGGCACACCACATGTGATTTTATGGACCTGAGAGGAGCAGGTATCCAAACTTACTATGAAGAATCTGTCTGTTATATAAGGAGTGAAAGATTTGTGGACAACACCAGAGAGGCCAAGGTGGTTCAGGCGGGATAAAAGAATGGTGTGGTCTAC